TGATGATGATGATGATGATGATGATGATGATGATGATGATGATGATGATGATGATGATGATGACAAGGGCAGGGTAGAGAGACATGGCCGCGTAGGAATTGAGCAGTTTGAGACGAAAACTACTGCCAATCGAATCTAAAATGCCGCTAGCAATATTTTAAAGCTGAAAAACACACTTACGCTGTCTTGCATGTGTCCGCCTCCCCTCGGTTGGCTAACGAATGGGGGTGTGGCTACAGAAACCGAAGACGGTGACCGAGCATGACAATTTCTAAAGAGTCATCTTCAGCGTACTTTCAAGTATTTTATATTGTCATGCGTCAAATCAGTGTCAACTCTGTCTCCTGCATTAAGTGCTTAAATACCAAGCACATGAGCTGATCACTCACAACGGACGTCGTCATCCTACCTTTTTTTGCAGACAAGGACCATCTGCCTATTTTTGCTTTCCAGTAAACACCTCTGCAGATTTCTGCTTGTTGCAGGCTACCCGAGACACTGCTTGCGTTAGCTCACAGATTCGCACCTAAAACGGGTCACCCGGGAGTTGCGATGGATCAGCACGGTGGCCGGGTCTGGATCCGACACCCGTTACTGGGCTGTGGAGGAGCCCGACAAGGGAGGGGGAGGAGGGGGAGGGGGAGGAGGAGAAGGAGGTGTTGTCTTGTGCCCTCTACGGTGTTGCGAGCCAATCAATTCTGTTGCAAAACAATGCTAGGATGCTCTGAACGGATTCTGTAGTGCGCCGATTCATCTGACGTCAAGGCTTTTCTGATTCCAGCATTCAGGATTGATCCTGAAGCAATGATATGCGTGACAGCATGGGATTTTCCTCCAATATCCCCAATCAAGGTTGGAGTTTCGTGTGCCCGACCTCTCGTCAAAGAGTAAACCGCGTCCGCGGTTGAGCGCTGGCGGAATCATCCAAATGGTTCACCATGAAACAGGATGAGGGTGTTTTACTTTTTGCAAACAGCAAACTCACAAGTTGATTTTGGTAGGCGGTAACGGCGATGAACACGGTCTCGGGAAATTCGAATGTCTTTATTTCATCCGAACGGATGCTGCTCAGGGATTGAGGCGGTGTTGCCATAAAGGGTTCAACGGCGGACCGTTTGATCAAATGAATCCTTGGCTGGTACTTGTGCATGGAATTGAGGATAATCTATGCAGGAAAAAGAGCATTATAAAGCTAAATTGACATTAAAGGTTAAGGACTACTACTGCATCAAGTAAACTAATGGCCTTGTTGGTATGGTTTTACTCGTTTTTCACACAGACGTGTATTCGCCGATTTCATACTGATATTGACCCCACTGGGAAAAACTCGACGCCTCGGTGGGATTCGAACCCACGCAGTAAGGGGAAGGCATTAGCACAGCCAACGCTCTAACCACTTGAGCTACGAGGCCCCGCCGGTCGGCGCGAGTTTACTGCGTGGGTTCAAATCCCACCGAGGCGCCGAGTTTTTCACAGTTGGGCCAATATGAATTATTCAAAAATCTGCCAAAACTTCTATGAATTCGCCGATTTATCGATCTTTTTCCCTACCTAACCAATCGTCTGGCTGGGCCAAGTTTTTTCAGTAGGCGTGGCCAAGGTTGAACAGCCTTGAACATTACTCAGTCTAGTTGATACCGTGGCAGTTCTAAAAAGTTATAATTTGCCTACTTTGAAGTCCGTCGTTCCAAGTCTTTTGCATTGCCATTCTCTAAATAGAGCGAGATTTTCGGCTTCTACTCTGACCCCTGTTTCAATTACTTTATTCTCGGACACATGCTTTGGTCATTCATCAACGACTCCACCATCGTACCGCTTCTTACAGGCAAGGACCATCCGTCAACATTTGTTTCCCACTGAACACCTCGGCACACTCCTCTTTATTGCTTGCTACTCGAGACGCTGTTTGTATCAGCTCACAGTTTTGTCCCCAATAGCAGGCTGTTGTGGAAAGCCTAGGTGAAGGCCAACCCCATCTCTAGTCTTTTTGACTCCGGTCACGGAAGGGTGAGGGAATACAGAGTGCAGTAGGTACCGCGCAAGCCTACTACCACTATAAACTACTTCATGCCCAAGTCATCGTTCCTTCGCACAACACGATGTGGAGCATACGGCGGACATCATCGATAACGACGGACGAAATTCCACTAGTTCTCCGTGCCAAGATAATACCAAGGAAGTTAATGCCTTGCATCCGTGACTGAGGGTCGCAAATGTTACTTCCTTTTCACAACGAAAAACCTTCAAGTAGAAGTCGCA